CTTATCTTTGAGAGTCACAGCAGTATCTGTCAGAGGTTTGCTGCAGAACTGAAATGTGCCTTTGGCACTTCAGAGGGGAAGCAAGCCTCTATCCTGTCAGCTGGGGGAGATGCTGGAGACTTGGCCCAGGCCTTCACGCCTGTTACACAGCATATGCTTTCCCACGAAGCAACATCACCTGTCCCTATTATTTTTTTAAAATCTCCATTTCAGTATTTGGTTGGTATCACATAATTGTGGCCCTCAGGGTCATCAAGTAGAGATTCCCTCAATGCTCTGCATAGGAGGACAGCACATGTGCTTACTCTAGACCCACTCCTCCCAGATATACTGTTTCTTTTTTTTCCAAACCCTAAATATCCCTCTTGTGATTACACAGCAGTAAAGCATGGGTTGGGTACAGATCTGGATGGGATCAACTCTTGAAAAGCAGTTTAATAAGATGCTCTCTGGCAGCACAGAGAGAATGACTCTGCCACAAACAAGCTGAGGGAACAGTGAAGTAGCTAAAAATGTATCCAGCTGTGGGATGCATTATTAATTTGAGGGTGTTGTGTACTGTATTCACACCATACCTACCCCAACACCTGTTTGTGAGAGGGGATTACAGTGGCTTCTTTCTGGATTTTTAAATTTAATCCCATATTTTCCAAAATGCAGACATTCATCATCATCTTTTTAGAATGAATATTGTAAGAGAAGGGCAGGAGGAAATATATTTGAACACAAGAAGTCTCTGTTCTACAAGAAAATTTCATTTCTGAAGACTCTCAAGTAAGTGGAAGTCCACAAACAATACAGTGGCCGAGCAAACACCACGGGCATGTGGGATTCAGCTTCGGCACGGTGCAGAGCTTGGACATCGGGCAAATACACCACAGGCATAGTGTGTCTCACTGAAAAACAAGGAAGATTGCATCCTTCTACATGCAGGTGCCTGGCTCCAGGGTGTCAGAATTATTGCAAGTTTATGACTGCTCAATACTTTGATATCTTTTTCTATTTCCAGAGAATTCCTAGAGCCTTTTTCAAAAGGGGAAGCAGGTTCCTGAACAGCACTTCAGAAGCCAAAACAAGCAAGCCATGCTGTGGTTGCTTAGAATGCTGCAGCATCCTGCTCACTGGAGCTCCTTTAGCAAAAGGAACCCAGAGGGGGTGACTAATCTAAACAGACATTCTACAGCAATGTCTCTTTAGATCAAAATGGCTGGAATTTATTACTGAAAAATGGCTCTGTACTTTTGGGTAGGGTTTCTGTAAGAAGGGAGAAGAGTCAAAGAAAAAAAGAAGAAAATCAGAGGGCAGGAGATGACTTAAGCCTACAAATGGAAAAACAAAAACTTTCCACATGGAAGTTATTCCTCCTAAATAACAGCTGATGTTGACATTGTTCAAATACTTCAGATAATAACCACTGGCAAAATGCAACACCCAGAATGAGCAGGGCGGGGGACTGTATGCTTTTGCCCCCAAGCCCGCCCTGATGCTTTCTTGGGTGAGTCAAACCTTCAATTTCTATCCTAAAATACAGAGCAAATTCAGGTAGAGCTGTCTGTTGGCAGCAGTATAATTCACATGGAGCCTGGCTTTCGTCAAACTGTCAGCAAATGTGACAGGGGAACACAGCGTGCTGAACACGTGTGCAAGCCTGCGGTGGAGCCTCCTGGGCCCTCGGAGCAGAGATGGCAACCTTACCTGCAGTGGTACTGAGAGGCATGAAAGGGATGTGACACAAGTTTACGGCAGCAAATGGGATGGAGAGAGGAGGAAAGATGTCACAGTCGCAACCAAAACATATACACACACACACACCAGCCAGCAGCTCTTCTGCTCATTCTTTCCAGGAGTATTTGTCCAGCAACACTGCGGAGAAGGTTACCTGAATCTCCTGGAGTGAAATAAGACAAGACAGAAAGACAGAAAGACAGAAAGACAGAAAGAAAGGAAGGAAACTCCTTGTTAACATTCTTCAGTATCATTATCCTTGATTATTTAAATTTTTTAAGTTAAAAAAGCTAGTTTCGGCCTCCATGTGACCCCATGCCACTGGCTGAGCAAACCACCTGTAACACTTCTTGCTTTTTTTAGTTAAGCAGAGGACAGGGATGTTGTTTCTAGGACACTGGGATACACACGCCAGTGCAATCAAGCACCACCATTTGGCTGATGAAGTCACTGAGGCCCCAAGAAGGTAAATGAAGTGCTCACGTAGAGACTTGCCAGCAACCAAGACAGGCCTTGAATTCATTTTTCTATGGTGTGGAGAAGGCCTCTGACAACAGCTCATACCAAACTGCCAGCATCATGCCTTCATGAACTGGAGCAGCTGGGAGCAGCTGGCAGTGCCTCCTCTGGGGCCACTTTCTGCAACTCCTGGCCACTCCAACCTTGTGGCTGACTACACAGAGTGGTGTTCAGCTGGCACTTGTTCACTGGCCTGACTGGGAAAATATCCTCGTGAGTCTGCTCTTTCAATGCTCATCAGAAGCCAGAGTGACCAAATCCATATGGGATAACTAGGACACTTTATCATGATAAGGTCTGAAAGAGTGATGAACATTTCCAATATGGATGACAAAGCTTTGGCCAACTCAGAAGTAACATCTGCACAGTCTTCACCAACAAAGCACAGAAACTTCAGCATGTAGGAAAGGTGGCATCTCACTAATGTGCCAGGTGGGTGCAGCCAGAGGTGCATTAATGCAGCCCAGTGCCTGGAGAAGGCCAAGGGGGAGCCAGGGAGTAGGGAGGAGGCCACTTCAAAGCAAATTGGACAGTCACAGAACAAATAACCAAGCTCGCAGCATGTGATGGGGAACAAGTGCCATGGGCAGGAGGTGGCAGGCATGGAGAGCTAAGCAAACTGGGTACGCGCAGACTTCAGGTGGATTCTCACAAAGATCAGCACAGGCAGAGGCAATGCTTTTCCTGCTCTCTAGTGGACTGATGAACTGCATTCGAGGGATATGGGATTAACCAGTCCACCCACCCACCCCACCTGGTTTTACTGCAGTTGAAAAACAAGTAGGTGAGTCCACTGAAGTACTGAGATGACTTCCCTTACCACAGCTGCAAAACTATGCACCTGCCTTCATTATAGCATAGCAACTCGTAAGACCTGAGACATAAATGTGTGTGTAAAGATCATCTATCACTGGGTAACTCTGACTTATATTGACAGACTTCTCCATTTTCTATACTCTTTAGATCAAGAATAGATTACTTTCATAGTTAACCTTTGTTTTGTTTTGATTTCTGCAAAGCAAACAAACCAAAAGTATCTGGTGCAAAGAAGTATTAACCCACCAGGGAAGATTTGGGGAGTGTTCCAGGTGTGGTTTATATCCTAAGAACAAAAGTATGACTCATGGATCAGCTGTCTGTCCGTGTCAGCAAGCTCAGGCCAGCCTTAATTCTGAAGAGCTATGGGAAAAGCTTCTCTTCAAGGGAACAACTCCACATGAGAGAACTACATGGGGCCATGTTGCTATTTCAGGCTGTGTGGTTGCATAGCGTGAGAAGAGACAAAGGTCATGACCAAGGCTCTTCCTTCTCTGTTACACTTGGGCTGTGTGGTTGGTCCTGGTACTTACAGGGTAAGCAAGGCAAGGGGAGGAAAGTGAAGGATCCACTGTTGGAGGGATGTTTGATAGAAACAACAAAATGCCTTTGTGCTCCTTAGAAAACAAATGTTGAAGGTTTAATGCAGTCTTAAGACTCTCATTTCCCTGTCCTCGTTCTGGAAGAGAGAACTGGAGAGCAATAATTGCCTTGTCAGCTTGCACTTTTTCTGGGACAGCTGGGAAGTAAGTGGCACTGGAGGACAGCAGGAAAGGAACACATGCAGGAGAAGTAATAGAAAAGCTGTTGATGTTTTCTGAAGTCGACAATGTTAAATGTGTGGCTAGTGCTCGCCTAACTTTTTTGAGTTCCAGATTAGTCAAGGCCACAAATGCTCCTGGCGAGCCCAAGAAGGCCCTGGAAATAGAAAATACACCTTCCCTTTCCTGGTCCCTTACCAGGCAGGGGAGGCTTTGACTGGTATCAGCTGTTGTGTGGCATAGAAAGAAGGTAGTTTACAGAAATGCAAACTTTTACAGGGGAAAAAGTTACTATGGTGAGTCTAAAAAGGCTTCCTAAAGCTTCCTAAAGGAGGACTCAAAAGACATTTTGTGACCAGACCCTCCTCTGACGCAGTGGCTTCCCTACGGGCCATAGGGTGGTGTACTCCGAACTGTCCATTCAACACCACACCTCACAGGAATTCTGAATGGACGTCGTCACACCACGACTTCTGAGAAATTGGCGTGAAAATCTTAATGGCTATCAGATACGAACTGTAAAAAGCTTTTTTTTTTTTTAATACTGGAAAGTTGTTTTTGACTAGTAGGTTTTCAGATTTTTAATAGAGTATAAGGTAAGGTCCTTAGCTCTCAGTCTCCTGAACATAGACTGCTGGGAGATGCTACACCCTAGAGAATTCAAATTACCCCTCCCCATTTCCCAGACTCTCGGAGCTTGACTACCTCCATGAGAGATGACTCTCCGGTAGGGCTCGATGACCTTCATGTCGATGCGTTGCTCTTGTTCTCCAATCACTACAGTCCTCCACAGCCGGTTGTCTTCACGCTCTTCTTCAGCTGTGTATTCGGGAATAGACTCTGACTCTTGGCCAGAGTCTTTGTTGACCATAGACTCTTCTAGAAATGAAAGAAAGCAGGGGTGAAGGAAAATTGGCTTCAAAATAGAGGACACAAATGGCCGAGTCAGATGCTTCTTCTTGGGAGAGCCACCAGGATGCAACTCTTGCTACATGCAGGCTTTACAGAGTTTATAAAGCTGGCCATATGAAGTCCTCTCAGTTGTCTTCTGTATTGACTGACTGAGTAACCAAATTCACTGCTAAGGCCATTCTGCAAGTAGGAGAGCTGATTCTAGGGCTGTCTTGTATCCTCAGTGGCCCAGTGCAGGATGAACTGGTACTAACCCATTCTTAATTATGCAGGTTATTTACCTATCAGGCCTGATAATGTTGGTTTCCTTGAGACACATGTCCTGATTACTCAGTGATTGAAAGCATGATTACTCAAAGTACTCAAAGCTTAGTATATTGATGATAAGACACCCTAGGTCAAGACCCCTGTTCTAAGACTCTTACGACAGGGTTGAACTCCCTGACCTCTTGGGGGACCATCTGGACAAACATTTGATACTACTTTCTGGGCACTGTATTTCAAAATGTGCTATAGTAAGTGAGAAACAAAACAAATTTGTAGATCAGAAATAGTCCAAGGTGGGGCCAAGGAGATGGCTCAGTGGAATAAGTTCTTCCTTGGAAAAAGTGCAAGATCCTGAGTTCAATCTCCGGTTCCACCAGAAAAGAAACAGTCCAAGGCCCCAAATTCACAAGACACCTAAATTTGCTGGGGCATAAGGCAACAGCAATAACACAAAACCCACTGATTTTTTGGGCAAGAAATTTACTCGTGTATCAGGAGGAGAAGGAGGGAGGAGGAAGAGGGAAGGGGAGGAGAAGTAAGGAGAGGAAGAGGAGAAGAACACCCCCCACCCCCACCCCCTACTTCGGCTTCCAATATGTTTCCCAACTTGGCAGCTTATTAAGGACACAAAGAGTAAACTTCAGCTTCAGAAGAAGAAGAAGAAGAAAAAGAAAGAGGAGGAGGAGGAGAAGAAGAGAAGGACGAGGAGGAGGAAGAGGAGAAGAAGGAAGACCACCACCACCATCACCACCACCTACGTGGCTCATCCACTTCAGCTTCCAATGTGTTTCCCAGCTCGGCAGCTTATTGAGAACACAAAGCAGTAACCTTCACCTTCCAACTAAGCACCACTTACTTGGGCAAATCTGTCCATTTGTCTGGACTCCCTTCCTGCTTCTTCCATTCTGCTTGGGTTAGGAACCTCAGATGTGAATCCAAGCTCCCTTCCTGGGATGCTATTGCCCACCTCATCTTTCCTGCCTCAGAACTCTGAGCTCTGATGTGGGTTTGTCTTCTGATGCTGCTGTACACACATACCCTTGTCTGCAATGAGCTTCCCATGCAGCAAAGTCTCTGCATTGGCTTCAGTATTCCCTGGCCTGCTTACATTGGCCCTGGGGATTTTGGGAGGAAGGCTGGGGGGATGAAAGTGGGGTTGTTTTTTTGTTGTAGTTGTTTGTTCATTTGAGACAGGGTCTCAATATCTACTTTCAACTGGCCTTGAACTCACATTGTAGCCCAGGCTGGCCTTGAAGTCACAGCAATCCTTCTGCCTCAGCCTCTCAAGTGCTAGGATAACAGGTATGCATCACCAGGCCCAGCCTTAAGTGGGGTTGTTTTATTTTCTGCATGCTTTTATTTAAGTTGCTTCATTAAAACTTTTTCTATATATCACAAATTTTATTTCAGTTGTCAAAAGTAAAACAGAGATCACACAGATATAGTGAACTGGTCTTCAACAAAGGAACAAAGGCAGTACAATAGAACAAAGATAGTCTTTAAACAGACATTAGTAGAACTGGACATCTATGTGCAAAAAAAAAAAAAAAAAAAAAGAATCTAGATCCAGATCTTAGACTGTGGACAAAAATTAATATAAAGTAGATCAAAGGCCTAAATATCCAAAACTATAAAGCTCCTAGAACATAAGAGGAAACTTAATCACTGTTGGGTATGGAGTGACTTTTTAGACCTAACATTGAGGCATGATCCAAGAAACAAATAATTAATATGGTAGAATTGACTAAAATTAAAAACCTGTGCTCTGTGAAAGACAATGCCAAGAAAGTAAGAAAGCAAGTGACATGCAGGGAGAAAGCAGTTACAGAACACACATCTGGTGAAGGACTATTATCAAAAAGTACAAGGATGAAAATGGGCAACATCAATAAAAAACACAGAAGAGATATGAACACATACCTCAGCAAAGAACAGATATAAATAGCAAGTAAGCATATATGAAGACATTCAACATCACATGCCAGAATTGGAAATTAAACTTGCAAATAATGGGATTCCACTACATATCTATTAGAATAGCCAAATTCCAAAGGAGTGATAACATCAAGCAGTGATAACATTGGTAACATCAAGTACTGATAATATTAACATCAAATGGAGCAACAGGAATTCACACTCACCACTGATGGGAATGCAGAAGGACACAACAACTACAAAAGACAGCCTGGCATCTCCCTATAAAATTAAGCATACTCTCTTCATGTAGCCCCACAGTCACACTTCCTGGTGATGACTCAAATGACTTGACAATGTACATCCACATAAAAACTGACACATGAATGTTTATTGAAGCTTTATGGGCCAGGTATATAGTTCAGTGGCATAGCACCTGCCTGGCAATTGTAAGGTCCTGAGTTCAATTCCTGATATCAAGGAAAAAAAAAGCTTTACTTGTAATTGGCTACACTGTGAAGCAACTAAGATGTCCTTCAGCAGGCAAAGGAAAAATAAATGATGGTACATCCATGCACTAGAAAACTATTAAATGCTAAAAAAGTTTGTAAGACATGAAGAGACATGGAAGAAACTTAAATGCCTAAGAATATGAAGCTATCTGAAAACTGTACTTCTTATATGACTCCAATGGAGGACACTACCAAAAGGGCAAAGCTAGACAGACCTTTAAGGGTCAATTCATGAGAATGGAAATATAGTTCTATTCTACATTGTTACTGCTTATTATAAAGCATTTGTTTAGCAGATATCTTGATAAGGCATCTTACTTCAAGTGCACATACTACTACAGGGAAACTTTTTAGCAAGGGAAAGCTGGATCTGCAGACAAAGTGGACAATTTTGTCCTTGAATATGTCACACCACAATATGAAAGAACCTGTTTTCTCCTCTTGTTACAAAACCTCAGGCTTTTATTAATGCTTTTATCCTTTGATAACTGAAGATGGAAATAATCTCATTTCAATTTCAATTTCTCTGTTTAACAAGGAAGAATTCAAGTATTTATTGGCTACTTAAATTTGTCTTCCACATATGGAGATAGCTGCTAAATATTTTGTGTATGGTGGTCCTTACTAATCTGTTAAAGTTCTTTATATAGGACTTGATTTTGTGTTGCAATTTTTTTCTGCTTTGTGCTTATATATTCCTTTATATTTTTTGCCCAACAGAAATTTTAAAATTTTATATTGTTGAATTTTTCTCTTCTAAAATTATAATAGGAAAGGACACCTCTATTACAAGTATGTACATACACACACACACACACACACACACACGCACGCACGCATGCACACACACATTTTCTTACTGTTTTTTCTTAAAAACAGCATTACTAGTCATTTTGGTATAAAAGTTTGGGGCTGAGTGTTTTTATGAGGTGTTGTGCTTAATGTTTCATTGTGTGGGAACTGGCAAGTTGCTGGGGGGTCCTTCATCACTTTCTCTTTTGATGGATATAAAAGGGGAAAATGGATTATTTCAGAGCCAGGGGTTTATTAAGTTCTCCTAAGGAGTTCACTTCTAGAAGTTCACAAAACAAGCTAGTCAGGAGTAAAGCAGGTTTACTGACTCCCTTCAGTTAGAAACACTCTCCAGATGTTAATAATTCTTCTGTTGTAACTGAAAATTACCATCTCCTCCCATGCTCTCTTCATGTGCTTGCAGAAATGTTCAGGTCTTGTTTAACTATCTGTCCCTAGGTGCTCCAAATTTAATTTTTAGTCTTGTCCCCTCTTTACTTAAGAAATGTTTATTTTCTTTTCTCAAATATCAGCTTTCTCCCTGGACTGTGGGATACAATTAAACTCTCTTGGGGTAGAGGTCAAATAAATTCTCCCTTTGGCCTTTTTGAGATGATTTAGCATATAATCTCCTGAAAGTTCATACTACCCACACCACAATGGGAACCCATTCTTGATGTTTATTATGGACTCAATAGAGAGGTCATTAGCTGAGGTTTCCAGTAGGGACTTCTGTTTGTGAAACGTGACTAGATTTCTATATCTTACACTCTTATTAAGATAATGAATACTGGCCAAGCAATGGCCGTGACTCATCCACATGGCTTACACTGACAAAGGTTCTACAATCTGAGGTACAGGATCTCAGGATAAATCCTGAGGGGATTTCACTGACCTTATCAGATCCAAAAGCTACAACTCTTGTTGCATTGGTCCTGCTTTATCTTGGTCTTAACCATCCAGCAAAAAAGTATAAAAATGAAATACAAGAAGTAAAGCCATGCTGTTGAGCTGTAGGGGACTCAGGTCAACAATTTCTGACACTGCCAATCAAGCAGAAGACCCAATACTCTTATGGGCTACTGAACTCTTTTAGAATATTTTGCTGAGTTTACACACCTATAATATTCAAAGAATGGAAGTTAACAAAAAATTGAATTAAGAAATATCTACCTAAGCTATGCACATCTGTAATCTCAGTATTCTGGAGACTGAGGCAGGAGATTATAAGTTTGAGCCCACATGAGGCAACTTAGTGGGGTCCTGTTTCAAATAAAAAATATAAAATGGGTTTAGGATGTGAAGGCTTGGGTTCAATCTGAGTACTAAAAGGAAGAAAGGACAGAAGGAAGGAAGGAAGGAGGGAGGGAAGGAAGGGAGGGAGAAGGATGAAGGTTGGGAAGAAGGAAGGAAAGAAAGGCTAAGTAGATTAGTTATGCACACTTTGGACTGTGGCTGGGTGGGCCATGATGCGTGACCTTGGCTACTGCACAGCACATGGTCCACGACCCCTTCTTTACTGGCTGTGTTCATTGGTTCTGCCTCCCAGTTGTCATGAACTGAGCAGGTTTGCTTCACCATGCCCTTCCAGAAGGAGGCTTCTGCCTTGGGCGGGGGGTGGGGGGGGTGGTCTACCAACCATGGACTAACTCTTCTAAGGCCATGAGCCCAATTAAACCTCTTTTTAAAGTTGTGGGTGTCAGGAAAAGCTGACATACACTTGGTGCAAAATTAAGTCTTTAAAATTCTCTTGATGACAAACAGCAGTCAGGAAATTAATTTGAACGTACAATCTCAGTGTACAAAAATAGATGGAAAAATCCTTTCAGACAACTTATGACGTAGGCTGCTTGTGGGTAAAGCACAGTAAACTGAACACCTGATTTGTTTACATGCAGACTTAAAACAAGGAACTAATTTTTATCAGTGGGAATTGGAAAGTTGGGAACTGGCCTATATATTTTGCAAATATTGAAAGTCACAGAGACATTAAATGAAGTGGTGCCCTGATTACTTGGAAATAATGTTTGGTGCATTATCAACCCAGAAAACTGTCATTAGGGCTTAGTTTTAAAAAGCTTAGGTAAGGTCACTAAATATCACTTAGGAAGGAAAAGTGTAAGAGTATATAATATTCTTATCAGAAATATGCTGGTAAAATTTTTAAATCATTTTTCCACTTCCCATATGAAATGCTTTTGCTGAGATCTAAGTTAGAGCAAAAATTACTTTGTGGTAGGTTTGGAAAACAGAAATACTTCACCTTTTTCCCTTGACCTTTGGATATTAAGTTTTTGGGGTTGGTATAATAATGCAAAAAACACTAAGCTTGCTCTTAAATGAAAATCTGACATCCCAAGTCTTTTCCTACCAACACATTTCTGATCTCTTTGGCACACTGTAAATACCACATGCATCTCCAAGCACTTATTTCACATTTCAGAACTAAAATGTATTTCTATTCCATTCTTTTTATGCAGTTTCCCATGTCTGCATATTCTTACAGTGATACACCTTTTGTTTGAAAATTAAGGAGAATTTTAGAATTCAGCCTATATTAAAACTCTCTCTTGAGTTTAAGATCTGGAAGGAGAGCTGTGAACATTAAGCCGGCTCTTTCAATATAACAATGACAACTAAAAAAAACAAAAACAAACAAACAAAAAAAAAAAACTACATCAGCAAGTGGCAGCTTTAATTATCAGCTTGCTCAGCTACCACCAGTTTGCTTAACATTCTACTATTTATAAAAATAAAAAGTTCAGATGTGGTGTGACAAAGCTTTCCGTGGCAACAGGGAGGTGAAGCGGGAGGAGAGGGAGGGCCAGCAGTGTCACACCACAGCTGTTTTCTGTAGGATTTAAGTCAATATATTAGCAGGAAGAGAGCTGGGGCCATTGGCAAGCCAGCATGGATGGGGTTGCCGACACTCAGGTTACAAGAACAAATATGACTTCAATACCTTCCTTTCCTTTGTGTTTGCATATGTCAACCTATAAGATCACATATCCAGATAACTAGAGTCAGCCCTCCACATCCTTTGGTTCCACATCTGCAGGTTCAACCAAGCAAAGCTAGAAATAATTCAAGGGAAACGTTGAATGTGTATAGAACATGCAATGACTTCTTTCTTGATCATCATTTCCTATACAATAACTATTTACATAACATTTTTGTCAGGCATTATAAGTAATCAAGAGATATTTTAAAGTATATGAGAAGATAGAATCAGGTTATAGGCAAATACTAGTTTGAGTACTATTGAGTTTGAGTGTGGTTAAATTTTGATATCTATTTGGGGTCTTGAAACCAATCTGCCACAGATAAAGAGGGGATATTATATAGAAATTCAGAACACAATGAGAATGCAATAAAAACCTCTATTTAAACATAACCTTTAGAACAAGTACTTTATTGCTATTTTTTTAACTTGAGGAAATAAAGCCTTAAGTTTGCAAAGATAAGGTCTAAGAGTGTACTGACCCTTGGTTCTAGCTCTGGTGGCTCAACAACCATTGGCTGAATTAATGAATTAATTAATTTGCTTACTTTTTATGTACTTTGTACAGGGTCTCACTACGCAGCTTGGACTCACAGTGATCCTCCTGTTTTTAACCTCCCCAGTGCTGGGATTATAGACATGTGCCACCACGCCCAGTCTCAGTGGCTGGCTCAGCAGTCCCCAGGGTGGAGCTGACGCAGCATGTGGTGGCAGGGATAGAGCCCCGGTCCCTGTATTTGCCTAGGTAGGCACTTAGTCCACTGAGCTATCTTGCTGACCCTAATTAGTTAATTTAATGAAGATTTCAATATGTTCCTATATGAGTGGGATGCCTAGAACCAGCATTACTCTAAAAGCCATGGCAACATTTAATTGTGGTACTGCTGTTGAATATTAGAAAGTGCTTTACAAGTAACAAAAACAGTTTGTGACTAGCACTCTCATTTTAACTTGTGAATAAAACTTTAGGCTGCCACCCTGGCTAAACCAAAATGGAAAGTATATAATGTTACCAGTATTTTTACAAGTAAATATTTTATATTTACATATAAATCTTTACAAACTAAACTTCATTGAGCATGGGAAAGAAATAAAGTGAGACTGATATTTATATCCAGAATGTTAGACTAATTCCTTTAGTCTGGCAATTTTTAATTTTATTCATTGTGTCTTTCCTCTACTCCACCCACTCAATCCCTTCTTTCTTCCTCCTTTATGGACATACAGTATTAAACACATTAAAGCCTCTCTACCTTAGGGGGAAAAAGAGATGATAACATGCAAAACAAAAGTAAGTAATACAATTTCAAGGAATACTACATAGAAAAGAAAGTGAACATTGGGCTAAAGGGTTAAGGAAAGCAGGGAGGTGAAAAGCACCTTTGATTTCAGAGGCAAGGAAGGCCTGCCCAAGGAGGTACAGTCTGGTGAAGGTCTGCACACAGACAAGGAGCTGGGCATGGAAGGTTCTGGTGGAATGAAAATTCCAGACAGTAGAAGCTTGTACTAAGAAAATGGAAACCCTGATTCTGCCTCTTCAAATTTTATCTTCCAGATTAATTTCTCTTTCTCTGCAAACCTGGCTCCAGTTTTCTTACAACACAACAGGTAGCAGCCTAGGGTCTTCAAGACACAGTCATGGTCCTGTATGTCCTTCCTGAACCATACCTGCTCTGGCACACTCTATAAACTGTCAAGCTTGGCCAACTATGATCGAGACACAAGCGAAATCTCCCAAAAATCACACACAGGAGCCACTGGCACAAAAGTAAAGGATTTGTTCTTAATGCCACTTAGATAATCCTTTATTTACTTATTTAATTTAGGGTTTGTCAACTTAGTGACTTACCATGGCCTGTATACTCAAAAGGGTCTGCTTCATCAGGAGTATCAAGTTCATCCACATTGATATCAATTCCATCTGGGCTGTCCAGGTTATCATCAGAGAGAATGGAACCTTCACTGTGGTCCAGAGAAAGACTGATATTTGGGGCTGTGAGCCTTATCCTCCGAGAATGAGTGCCGTTAAGATCCAGTGAATTAGGAGGTTCTAAAGACAGACAATAGCAACATTTAGTATTAGACTATATACATGGCTGCCAACAGCAGGCTTGGGCCCTTCTGCTTTATTTAGACTGTTTCAGCAAAGCCAGATCTGCTACAATCCCTACAAGGGTATCTGGACCCACTTCTTGATATCCGCCCTCAGCACTGGCTTTCCCCAACCTTGTCAATGGCAGCCATATCAAAACAGGAAGGGAGAACTACTCCTAAAGAGGTGGAAAATTAGGGTTTTTAGAAAATTTCTCTGTTTATCTTTAAGAACTTCATAATGCTATAATATTGAATAGGATTTTTATGATATCTATTACATAAAAGTAGTTGAGTATATATTTCCTAATTATTACCAAATTTGCTTTGCTCGTAAAGAATGGCAGTAAATAACTCTTATGTTGACAGACACTCCCAAAATATTTTTTGGGTCTTAAATATGATCTTTAGTGACCTTTCCTGTTTTGTTTTTCAAATAAAACCTGAACTACCCTCTCTGGTTACATTCTTTGAACCTACATAAGTAGTCACTACCTATTACAGGAGCACTGCTTGACAGTGGTTTCCATACCATCTGATTATCACAGAGCTAGTTTCCACCCTTTTATTGTAGAATATATTTTCTGCTTATGTGCCTTTCATTTAATAGAAGCAATACTTGAGAAGTTATTTTAAACCAAGTTTATCCCAACCAACCAAAGACAAATATCCTAATGTGGTATAAGAAAAGTGTTTGATCTTTATCTCTGATTCTAGGCTGAGCTCCTAAAACTCAGAATTTCCTGACAGGTAGGAGTATCTTTTGCTTGTGTAGAAAGCTTTCCAACCACAACTGAGTTTATGCTAAAGGAGTAACTTGGAGTAGGGCCACCACCTAGCTTCAGGTGGAGGCTGGTCACCAAAAAGACCAAGTGACTAGAAAATTGGAACTTATCCCCACCCAATGAGTGCTAGGAAGGAAGAGACACACTGGAGCTGAGGCTTTATGAAGACACTTGAACAACAAGTCTGATGATCTTCCGCATTAGTAAATGCATTAAAGTGCTTGGAGGGTGGTACAATTGAAAAGGGCACTGAAACTCCATGCCACTTCCTTTATACCTTGTGTAAAATCCTGATAAAAAAACAATCCTTTAAGAGCACTTCGAAATGGACTACAGAGGTCATTAGGGGACCAGGACTTGTACACTATAAAGATGCTGCCGGGAAAAGGAAATCTTGAACTGGGCACAGAAATGCGAATGCTTGAAGTAGGCCAAGTCTGCAAAAGCCACTAATATCTTTAATGACTGTTGCAGCTGCAACTGTCTGTCACAAGTGACAAATGCACCTTCCACCTTCAGCCAGTCCTAGAAATCCATCACTTATGCCCAGTGATGTGCAGCCTGTGTTAGAACATCGTCTCTGCACAGACCATTTTCCTCCACATGTATCTTGTGGGATTCCTTCTCTGTGACTTCTCTTAAAAACAACAACAACAACAACACACACACGCACACACACAAAACAAAACAAAACAAAACAAGACAAAACAAAAAAACCCCTGCATCATCTGAGTTCTTTGGAGCACACTTTTTCAGGGCTATCTGAATTTATGTTTTTAAAAACTGATTCCTGCGCTGTAGATAAAGTTCTCTTGCTTTCCCTGGGTTTGAACTGGCTGACATTAGATAGTGTCAGATGTGGTCTCTGAAGTGACTCATTTCTACCTCTGATGCTTCTAAGGATACAAGCACAGGTGCTTATGTGACTCTTACATTCTCCCTTGACTCCCTGGTGGCTTCAGATTGTGAGAGCAAATTCTTTCAGTCTCCAAACTTCCCACCTCTTTGGTCAAGGTTTCAGAACTTTCTTTGGTGTCCTTTGTTTCCAGCTTCTTAGGAAGAAAGTCTTTAATCTAGATGTCTTAGACAGACATCCTCCTAGTCAGTTTCTCAGACAGATAACTTTCACTTTGGGTTAGTATTTTTAGGAAATTCCTCCTTTAAGAATGGTGTGAGTGGGCAACCACCATCCAGAACTCTGGCTTCTCTGATGGCTAAAACCTATAGGCCTTTCTTCCTTGATGGACTGAAAGTACTCACATGGTGTGGTGTGAAATTATGGCAGCCTTAATGGGGCTCTTGGGATATTTGAAATTTAGTGTTCACGTGTGTGCTCAATTAGAAAAAAACGTTACACAACTAAACAACTAGAGTGACAGCATGCTTTAATTGGCACTTTGAGGTTATTAAATAGTGAATCCACTATTACTTTTCTTAGGGAGACAGATTCATAGCTGTCTCTTGCGAGCCTATCCCTAGTCTTGGGAAATTATCCCTAAGATGGTTTGGGTTAAGTTGCAACTTGCTAAAAATCTTTACTGATGTTGTTATTATTACTTCTTGGTATTCTTACTGTTGCTTATGAATACCTGAGAAACAATACCAATAGCTTATTTAATTCTAGTTTCTTAGCTAATCTTCAGGAAGATGTAAGTACCCTGGTCAAACATTATCTGACCTGGATTGAAAGAAAGGCATCATAAATTATCTTAGTTGAGCAATCGTCCCAACATCTTGCTAAAAAACAAATCAAAGGAAAAAAGATACTAAAATTATGGATCTCAAATCCAAGTCGCTTATCTCATGAGCCTCCTTGTGATGCAATTATCTCTTAAACTAAATTCTTTATATTCCTCCAGTTCTAAGGCATTTGTTATTATTGATCCACAAATTAAACTCTTGACCATTCTGGACATAGTTTAATATGTTATATGTTGATACCACAATATCATCATTAAAAAGGGTAGAACAAAATGCTTTCTGGTCTCATAAAAGGAACTATCCCTCAATTATGGGATGGATATGTCTTATCCATACATATGTCTTACCCACAATTATGGCTATTTAAGTTTGGAGGCATTCTTTTGGTGGAAGTAGTATAATGACCCTAAAATGGTAAACCAAATAACCTGCATTGAGATTATCACCTCAGTCCTTGTGCAATGTCTGTCCAAGTCCTGTTCCCTATAGTAACCTTATCAGTTTCTTGGCTCAGGACTGATTGATGACAACCTAGCATTGGCTGAAAGCACCTAATGGAACTCAGTGGCTATGCGGACTCTGTCTCTGGCCCTGGCTTCCCCTCACTTCAGCTGGACACTGTACTTTGAGATTTCCTTCACTGCAAAGGCACATTCAATCTTCCTTTTACACGGGCCCAAATGGCCTTGTACTGTCAAAAGGCAGATGGACTCAATCAGTATTTCAGGGCTGCAACTGTTTACTTTGTATATCTGCCCCAACTTTAGGGCTGTAAGATGATTGTCCACATAAAAACATGAGCTAAGTTTACTCAGCAAGCCTTAAATGACAGCTGACAAGTACTAAACTTGGTAAATACAGTACTGAAATATCCTTAATGAGAAAAATGAGCTTACAAAAATACATATCTTGTTGTATGGGTACTTGATATCATCACCACTTCTTAAGGGGGCACATGTATTATTATTAAAAGAGTGCTCTGTTTATACACCTGAAAAACCATCAAATATCATCCAGCTCATCAAGCATAAGAAAAAGCCAAATTGCTCTCTTCAGTGATCCTACACCTAGCCTAAGAAAATTAATTAAAGCTTGTTTGGGTTAAATTTCAGCTGGCTACAATCCTTACTGATGGTGTCATTATTCTTTGTATTCGCATTGTTGCTTGTAATTTTTCTGAGTCTTAACACAATGTATAACTCACTATTGAATTACTTCTACTCCCAGAATAATTATTTCATGCAGACTATAGGCATATAATCATCTTAGTAAGCAAACTCCAAAGAAAAGTATCAAATTTTTGCCTCAGCCCAGCTCTTCAACTGCCTCCTTGTTGTTACTCAAATGTGGCTTTAAACTATCCACAATCATTTCTTCCACTCTTCCAGCGTACATGGCTTACTTCGGGAATGAGCCTTCTCAGCTCTGAGGGGTGAGATCTATGTAAACTCAAGACCGAATCTAAAGACTGATTATTGACACTTCTTAGTCATGGCCAGCGGAAGGAAATATTAAATCCAGAAGGAAGTCATGAAAACAAAACAACATTTAAAAGTCATTGGAAGGGCTGGCCAAATAATCAGATTAAAGTGCCTGCTTAGGCAGCTGCAGGGGCTGGGAGTTCAATCCTGGTGCCAGCCTTGCCTCCGGGGCATGCTGAGACAACAGTGATTGAGAGTGGGCATGGTGGTGCCTACCTATAATCCCAGCACTTGGGAGGCTGTAAACAGGAGGATCATTAGGAGTATGCAGTGAGACCCTATACACCCTGTAACCCTGTCCTAAAGTGAAAAAAAAAAAAAAATCATTTGAAAATGTTGTTGGGAAGTCTTCAGGGACCCAGGAACTATGCAGGCTGATGTTGAAGAAAATGAACTCCTGAGCTAGGTACAGAAATGTGAACTTTTAAACTGGGTCAATTCTGCAGAGACCACTGTTATCTTTTAATGAAGCCTAATAGTAGCAACTGTCACAAATGACAAATTATTTTTTGTCTAGGAACAGTCCTATAAGTTAATCACATACAGTTTGATGATAGGTGGCTTAGTTTCAGGGTAATTTTTCTGCACCCTTTTCCTTTTATTTCCATGTAACTAGTGAGATTTCCTTTGTCCTCAGCTTCTCTTTCCTTTTAGAAAAACCTTCCTTTTGAAGTTCTTTAGAGCATTCTTTCAAAGCTATATGAATATGTGCTTCCCCAAATTACAATTCCCAAGACTCCCAAATGAAGTCTTTGCTTTCATAGTTTGTAAATTTGAAATGATCAGCCTGTTCCCATGTACCCCCACCTATTCATCTATCTCTTTTGTGTCTTCTATAATACACCAGTAAATGGAAGTAGTGTTCCAATGAAGTTTTGAGCTGTGTTAGCAAATTATTAGGCCTGAGAAAGAAGTCTGTGGCAAGCACAGGGCAGCCAAATGGTGTCTGATGTCTTGTGGGACTGTACCCTTCACCTCTGGTGCTGGTATTCTCTTCAGTCAGTATCAGAATTGAAGCACAGGACACTTGGTAGGTGTTTTCTAGAGAACTGCTTGGTATATGTGGAAAAACTCCTGCATAGCTGGCCATCGAAGCACTTGGTCTGTGGAGAGTATCATAAAAGAAAACATTCCTGTCTTCATCTAAATACTGAAGGGACCAGTTTCCCCAGCACAAAGGATTCTGAAGGGCATCTGGCATACCCCTCAACCCTGGAATTAGAGTTCTGGCCTGTGCTAAAGAAACTGGCACTGTTCCTTTATCATTAAGATCTTTCTTTTCTGCATACAACATCACCTAAACTGTGTACCATGTAATGTTTTTAGGTATTAATTGAGAAAAATGTTTCTATGATATTTTAAAAACACTGGGATTCTCTATTACAGAAATTCTCAGGGCGGTGACGTTCATAGGAATTTTTGTGATGATGGAAATATTTTATATATGGCTACTGAGCAATTAAAAATGAGGTTAATGTAATTGAAGAATGGAATTTTACATTATAATTGTTAATCCCAATTTATTTAAATAGTTACATGTATTTAGCTGTACCCATGTAGCATAACCATAGCTTTATTCTAAAGTATGCTGTATTAAAGAGATATACAATGGTTTCTACTGGTTACAGTCTACAAACAGTATGTCACTTGACTAGTATCTTTAAGAATGTACCTTAAATACTAGCTCAGAAAACAAATTTATTTCACTCCCTTCTTGCTATCCCAGTGCAGGCTTGGTTTAAAAATACCAAGGTTCAGGATCTAGGTATTATCTTAAAGTTGGTATGACTGAAGAGAGTGACGCTAACACAAAATGAGAGTCATGAAGGTTGCAACTGAAAACTGAAGATTTCTTTCTGTGTATGCTGTAGGCTTAAATCCTGATAGTATAAAGCTGTTGTTTTGCTTATGTTTGTTTCAGTAGTGCTAGGAACCAAACCCAGGGCCTCACACATACAAAGCAAATGCTCTACCACAAAGCCACACTTTTACCTCTGGTGTGGTTTTTGTATTTAGAACACTAAGCAATCTTAATATCACATTTCCAATCATAAACATTTTTAAAATTATGCATACATTTGTTGAGCTTAGCTATCAGTTAGAATTTGGTATTGAGATACACAGTAATTATAATAGGAACTGCAAACTTCAACAGATAAGGCTGTAGCCAGGAGAGAAAATATGGGCCATGTTAGCATAAATATTTAAGTAGACTCTGCAATTAACCAAATTGAGTTCATTACCTTCCTCTTGTATTTTTTTTTTTTTTTTTAATCACTGAAATCTCGGGTTGAATACACAGGATATGGTCCTCTCTGTAAATAACGAAAATGTCTGGGTGAAAACACCACTGTGGGAAAGGAGCAAACACCTCTCTCACCAGGCCTCATGTCTGCCGCACAGGGACTCAGCACCTCCTCCTCAAAGGGGATATCCATTCCTACGTCCTCTGACGGGAGTCTGAAAGAAAGCAAAGCAAGAGTGTAAAAGCTACATGGGACTCTATTTTTTAAAAAAGAAATCCAGAGATTACAGGATTAAATTTTCAACTCACTTGAAATAAGCCAAATATGTGTACTAAATCCACTGCTAAGGGGTCCCAAGTTAGAAAAGTTTCTGCAGTTACTGAGAATAAAATCATGCACACTAATTTCACTTATGTGCAGTAATCACTTCTACCAGCCTACATAAACAAACACATACCAAAGGGAAAAACCTCAGAAATAGGAACGAGAACAATTAATGTATTTCAGGGGACACCAAATAGATTGTCAACATACATGGCAAATGCTTAAAATAAATTATTATTATAGTAAAAGACACATAGCCATTAATTACCCTCAAAAGTACACCTGCTCATTTTGAACACACTTAGCTTTTGCTTCTCAAAATTCCTTTTTAGTAGTAGGCAGAAACCCTGTAAAGAAGGTGCTAGAAAGCTGATGGGGTAGGCACTGGGGGGGGGGGCTGAAAGCTCTAATCAGAAGTCACTTAGGAGGAGGAAGGACTCTCACAAGCCCATGGATATTACAGAGGGCTACAGAGACTGGAAAGGAAATCCCAAAGACAAAAGAAAATCTGAGCCAGAATAGGTAAAAGCAAATCTGAGAGAAACGCAAGTTGTGCCCTGTGTGAATAGTTCAGCCGCATTTATAACCAGGACCATAAATTCTAATGAAGGGGCGCAAACCAAACAGAGGTGTTGACAGTGAGGTAAGACAATAGTTTTATGATCAATAATGGCAGCTTCTTAGGAGAGGTAATTTCATCTTATCCACCTGTAGCGAATACCTCCTTCTATGTTCTGTCCCCAGAATGGAGCTAATTAGAGGCTAAGAGAGTGGTAAGGCCAAGGCTGACTTTACCACTGCTGAGCTAGCTACATGTCTCCATCTAGAGGACATGTCAGAACAGTTTTATGGATGCTTAGCAGGGCGGTGTGTGACATTAGTGTTCTTCACCAACTATATCTGGCTCCTGGCCTTTTGAATATGTGATAATACTGCATTGTCCTGCCCTCTTGAAATTAGCATGGTTACATAACTTGCTTTGGCTAAGGAAAACTGGAAGTGGCAGATGTCCCTTCTGGGCAGAACCCTTCAGGGCAGGCATGTGAGGTACCACCTGCTTCCTGCCTCCATGGATCTGCAGGGCTCTGCCTGGCTGTGCTCCAAGAGCCTAGGATGAGCCGAAGCCTCAACTAGAGCTCACTGGCTACACGAACAGAAAATGGGCTTTTGTTCTGTTTTGCTGTGAAACACAGAAGTTGCTAGAACAGCATCATCTTGCCCACGCTATACAGCTAAGCTTTATTGTTCACTTCAAAGGCAATATCTGACTCACACTATGGTCAATATTTTATTGAGTTGGGTAATATACCTTCCATATCCTCAACCCAGTCTCATGGTGATAATACATACCTTAATTGTTCAGATTGCTAAGCATGAAAGAACATCTTATAAATGAGGACATAAGCTCAGAAGGGAATCAAATGTTTTCAAGTATTCTATAAATGTTAGCAATAATAATATATTGCCTTTATGGCTTTTTGTTATAGCCATCATAGTTTACTCATAGTCAATTAGATCATACTCAAGTGTTATAGCCACTCATTAATGTAAGTAATATTCATCTTTATTTATTTATCTGTATTTTAGGGGAGGGTCTACAGGGTGTTCAGGGTCTCACTACTAGAATCAGACTCATAGTGATCCTGTTTACAGCCTCACAAGTGCTGGGGTTACAGGTGTGTGCCACCACACCTAGTCCCAATTGCTGTCTCAGCATACCCTGGGGGCGGGGCCAGCATGGCAGGCCTGGGGATTGAACTCCTGGCCGCTGTGCCTGCTTACAGGTGCTTTAATCTGCTGAGCTATTTGACCAGCCCTTTCATCTTTAAGTTGACACTGTGCTTAACATATTTTGAAAGGAAGGTCTGTATCAGTATTTTATATATATATATATATATATATATATATATATAAAATTAAATCACATCAATGGTCTCAAATATTACAAAAATGAAATAAAGCTATTACCTGCAAGTTAGAAACCTCACATTTTTCTGTGTCTTTGTATATGTTTGTGTGTGTGTGTGTGTGTGTGTGTGTGTATGCATGTATGTGAGGGAGAATAGGGAGTGTGTGCTGACCGTATGTGATGCCCTGTGCAGCTGTCCTGCCACATCTACCATTTCAATTTTCGTGACTTTAGTTTGCCACAGTCAACAGCAAACTGAAAGTACCAAATAGAAAACTCAGAAATAAACAACTCATAATGTTTAAATAATTATTACAATATATGGTCCTAATTGTCCTGTTTTATTTGTACGTCCTGTAGACCCCTGCAGCAAGTCCCAATCTCCTGCCAGGTGTTACAGTGCATGGCAGAAAGAAAGAGCAAGAGACAAAACAGTGGCACAGCTGTGACTCAGGATGACAGTTGTTTACGGGGGAATAAACAGTCAGGAGGCAGCCAGAACCTCAGCACTTACTGATTGAGAGGGGGACTCCCGGGCAACTCAGGGGGCGGTGGTGATGCTAAACTGAAGAGGATCTTGCCCGGGAGCACCTTTAGTCTTAATGGTCTGAGTCTCAGTCTTTAGCAGGAGGGAGGGGATGGCCCACTCTTAACGGAATAATGAGAACTTCTAAAAGGATTAACACCAATGGGGCTGGGGAGATGGCTCAGTGGAATAAGTGCTCTCCTGGCATGCACAAGGACCTGACTTCAATCCCCGGTTCAAAAAAAAAATCCCACACTTTCATTCATCCGATAGGGAAGTATATGAATGAGTCTGTGATACCTGACACTTAGACATTTTTGTTATTAATCTCTTACTATGTCTAATTTACACATTAAGTTTTATCATAGGTATGTATGGGAGAAAACATAGTGCACATGTATAGGGCTTAGTACTGTCTGGTTTCAGGCACCTGTAAGATGTCGTCTAGGAACACAGATAAAGTGGGACTATATATCATTATAAACACAAGAAATGCCAGAGGAAATATAATATCCAAAAGGCAATTAATGGATCCCCAAGCTCAAAAGAGCCCAAAGAAAACCCACAGGTTCCATAAATGAAAAATTATAAAAATGTGAATAGACCATAATATTTTTAGAGCAGACACGGGCTTTAAGGCCCATAGCACAAGTGACCTCTGAGTGCTAGAAGGAACACAAAGACCTTAAATTCTAAAAGAGGATGTGAAGTTTAAAGAACTGAACCTTTAATGAAAAGCGATGAGGAAAATCCCTCTCCTCTGATCTCGGAAAGCAGTAGCCTGGGAACTAGGTAGGAAACCAAAAGCGACCTTTAAGAATTGAAGACGCTCATCATAGCCAAACACGCCTCAATTCATATTACTTGAAAATGCAGGAAGCCCAAATCAAGAACTTAAGTTACATTTGTTTATAATCACTAAAGACCTACAACCTTGGGCATTATACTTTTGATCTAAAATGCCTCCCAAGTCCCACACTTAGAGGTAGGGCCTGGCCTGAGGAGTAGGCCACTGGAGGGATGAGCTGAAAGGGTGCGCTGCTGTCCTGCTCCTGGTTCCTCCTTTTCCCTTCCACTTCCTGGCTCCCAAACTTTCCCAAGCACACTGTGAAGAACAGTTCTTCCTTAAACTTCGGGTGTTGGGTATTTGGTCTCAGCAATGAGAAAAGTAAATAAGACCTCCATCATGCCATTTCTGTCCTGGAGCCAGTGAGCCATGGGCTGAACCCACTTAAACTGGGAGTCCAATAAGTCTCCTCTCCTTTAAATGTTTTTTTTTTTTTTTTTTTTTTTTTTTTTTAATGTATTTGGTACAGGGTCTCACTATGCAGCTCTGACTCATAGTGAGACTCCTGTTTTCAGGGGGCAGGGCCAGCACAGCATGTGGTGGGGATCAAACCTGGGTCCCTGCACTTGCTGAAGCAGGCGCTTAGTCCACTGGGCTTTCTCACAGGCCCCCTCCTCTCCTTTAAATTGTGGATTTGGGGTATTTTGTTCCAGTGACAGGAAATCTGACTAAGACACTAGGATTCCAGAAGAATTAACTGAAGTCACCTGGTAGAACTTACGAAGGTACAACTCCGATTCACTGGAGATCTACTTAGCAGTGGAAAAAACAAAACAAAACAAACAACAACAACAACAACAACAACAACAACAAACTTTTAAAAGGTGAGCTCATACCAAAAAATAGAATTATAATAACAACAAAAACACTGCTAAGGAGAAAAAGACTGCAATGTTAGGAGATGGCATTAATAGAAAACAAAGGTAAATAAACAGAGCAATAAAAGTAATTTTAAAAGAAAACAATATGAAAGAGACTATAGTGATTCAAAATAAGTAAAAACCATTGTTAAACAACGCATATGAAAGCACTGAGGTTTGAGGTGGTAAATGCATAAAGCCAATTACGCCCTGAATGCCTGGGCTGCTTTATGATACAACAGCATTGCCAATACCGTGAGATGAAAAGCTACATCAGAGAAAGATTTAACACGAGAAAGCATCAGAATATTCATATTAAACAAAACAAACTTTAGGGAAAGAGATATATCTAAGTATGTATGCAGGATGGCTTGGATAGTTGTGCTGTGAAATTCTGCTGGTCTATGGAAGGGAGCAGTTAATGCTTATTTTTTTTTATGTACATACACTTGGTACAGGGTGTTCAGGGGCTCATTGCACAGATTGGACTCACAGTGATCCTCCTGTTTTCAGCTTCCCAAGTGCTGGGATTACAGGCACATGCCACCGAGCCAGTCTCAATCGCCATCTCAGCACGCCCTAGGGATGGGGACACCATTGCACACTAGGGATTAAACCCCAGCTAGCCCCTGTACTCTGCCTAAGCAGGCACTTTAATCCGCTGAGCTCTCTGGCTGGCCCTTCTCTTCTTAATTTCTTATTTTTTTCCCCAATTTTGCATGCATATATCTGGTACCATAAACAACTA